TGACATTTACTCGTTCGGCGCCATCTTGACCGAGCTGGATACGCTCCAGCTGCCTTTTCACGACGCCAAGGGCCTCGGGTACTGGGGGATCATCGACGGCGTGCGTCTCGGCAACCTCCGTCCGACAGTGAGCGCAAACTGTCCGCCGTGGCTGCGAGACCTCGCCGACGCCTGTCTGTCGTTTGACCCGACGCAGCGTCCGTCTGCGCAGATGATTGTCGAGTCGCTTCAAAAGGTACTCTATCGCAGCGAGGAGCTTTCGGTGCTTATCGTGCAGGAGCCAACGACCAAGTTAGCCGAACCACGAGCTGTGAGTAGCCCTGTGGTACGTGTCGCTCTCTGAAAGAATTTGAATTGGATTATACAATACTGGCTTAGTGCATCATGTCGACCAAGAGCCCAGAACCCGTGATCAAGCCGCCAGCAAGCGATATGCCTATCGACGCCGATAAAGCGTCAACTGTCGACGCGCTTGCGTCCTCCATGGCACCTCTAGCGTCCACTGGCACGGCGGTAAGACCATGGATTAGACGAAGCCCCTCGGTGCTATTTCTTACCCTTACCTACTCTCATCCTAGACGGAGTCGTCCACCTCGATGCTCGTGAGCACGCAATTCATGTGCCAACTCTGTTTTGCATCCAACTCGCTTCTCCAGACGCACTGCGAGTCTTGTACCGAAGAGCTCGCTTCCACTTTGACCAAGCTCCAGGTCGTTTTGAAGCGCGTGGCAGTTGCCAAGAAGAAAGAATTGAAGATCAACGATGGCCTTGTGTGCATCTGCTGCGACGCGCAGCAATCAATGGAAGCGACGGCCTGTAGCGAATGCAATGAAGCGCTCCCCAACGACCAATCGAAACTCAGCATCCTTCTGCGCCGCATCGAGAAAATGACCAAGGCGACGACGTAAATCTTCGAGCTCGGCTACATTGTGTACAACACCACTACATTGCATTCTACCAACTCGTTTTAACAACAACAAAAACTCCATTGCATTGAATGTGTGGACGCATTCTGGGTAGCAAAAAGAGATGTTTACCCGAGCGTTTTCAACTCGATTGTGGTTGGCGTGGGCTCTTAAGAGACGATGTAGATAATAATCGGATAGGACGATTAGTCGCGTTGATCAACGCAGTAGTACTGGATGTAGGCTCCATGCAGAAAGCATGTCCCATGCGTGCGTGCAAGTAGTAGACCGCGTCGTCCGACGTACAGGGCCTGTACAATCGTTCTTTATCTATGTCCAAAAGAATAATATATAAAGAACGGATAAAAAACGTCTTTTATATTGGAGTAAATGAAAAAAAGAGATACCCACAACTAGTCGGGGGTTCGATCCCGGCTAGGCCGCGTCTTTATTCGGGCTAAATATGAGCTCGTCCGCGATCTCGGCTGCGCTTGCGCAGGCATCAAGCGCACGTAAAAGGCGGGCTTCTTCTTCGTCTTCGCCAAGCTCCTCGTCGCCGCAAGCTGTGTCGGCGCTGGATGGCTCACTAAAGAGCAAGCCAGCAATGCGCTCGGCGAACGATGCGCCCCGCGTGCATCCAAGAGCCCGCTCCAAGGCAGCGCCGTTGTAGGCCACGCTGGCTTGCTTCTCGGGTGAAGAATACAAGAGCGTCACGAGCTTGACCCTGAAGGCTGCCCTTGTCAAGGCCGAGAAAATCAGCGCCGTAGAGCGACAAAATGTTGGCACGCTCCGCCGTGCGCTTCTGGACGCGGTCCAATGTCAGTACTCGTTGGAGGCCACCAAGGGTTAGACCCGTATACGCTTCGCTCGACCGTGTGGCGCCATGCCCGCGCCGTCGCCACCAAGGTACGCCGAAAGACAACCTGTCCATCAAAAAGATCGTAAGCGTTCTGCTATGCGTCGCTCGAACGCCAGAGGCAGCCGGACGAGCTCAAAGTTGACGTCATGACGTCCGTGACGCTTCTGGACGTTGTCCAAGCCGGGCTTTCCGGTGACAGGAGCGCCGGTCGCATGTCCCAACCGTCCTTGCACTGATCGCCAGCGTGCTGTCTGGTGACGCGGCCACGCAAATGTCGATTCTCGATGCCTTCGTCGCTCATGTTGCGCTGCCGTATACGAACCTCAAACGATGCGAGTATGAGCGACCAGGACGTGGCCGCGACCGACCTCGACCTCACCCTCCACCGTATGAGCGCCGTCGTCCTGCACGACATGCGCGCCGCGGCCACCGCCAGCGCGTGCTTTGTGGCCTTTCGCCTCGATGCATCGCCGTCGTTTCTCGCGGACGCGACGCTGCGCCATGTGGAAGCGACCGTGCGGCCGGCGCTCGAGCGGTCGCTGGCTGTAACAGAGTGACCCCTGTGCAGTCGATGCCGCGGGCCGTAAAGAAGTTGCGGAGATGCCAGAGAAACGTGGCAACGAGCTCCTTGACTTCACCACTGAATGTTGGCGCCGAAATACCGTCGATCTTGGTGTCGATCGGCTTGTTGACGACTTGTTGAGCAAGGTTGATCAGCAATTGCTCGGTTGGTGTGAGTCCGTGTGGGCGGTGTGTGTCGTGGACGCTGCCACCACCGGCGCTTCCACCGCCGCCACCGTCGTCGCCGTCACCACCGTGACCGCCACCGCCGTGACCGCCACCACCGTGACCACCGTGACCGCCACCGCCATGACCGCCACCGCCATGACCACCGTGACCGTCACCGCCGTGACCGCCACCACCGTGACTGCCACTGCCATGACTACCGTGACCGCCGTCGGGACTGGAGCCACGGTCAGCTGCAAAGTCGAAGCCGGTTGCACGGGCAGGGTCGCCGGAAGCACCCGCATCAGGGCTACCAGTAATGGCGCTCGTGGTATCAGCAGCCGGTGACGTAGAAGCCATGCCACCAAAGAAATTGCCGAGGTTGCCAAACGCGTAGGATGTGAAGGACGGCGGTGCATCGTCGTCGTCGGCGTTCGCTGCTGGAGGACCCTTGGCGAGCTGCGTCTGCAATTCGGCAAGTCGAGCACGGATCGAGGCATAATGAGCTGCCTCGGCCGAGTTGGTGGCAACGGTAGCGTCGATCGTGTTCTTCGAATCGGCGATCTGGTCTTGGAGGGCAACGCGCTGCGCCGAGAGCATGTCGGCGACCTCACGTAAGTTCTTGTGATCGGCCTCTTGGTGGAGTAGAAGCTCGCCTTCTTCATCGGCAATCTGCTGACGTTGCAACTCGAGCGCGGCGGCGTCGTTGACCAGCTCTTGGGTGCGCTTGTAGATGGCAGCATGCTTGGTGGTAAGCGCGGCGCGAGTCGCCTCTTGTTGCTGACTTTGCTCAGCGTTCAAGGTCTCTTGGTCCGACAGCTGCTTCCGGAGGGTTGCGAGCTTCGGAGTGTCGCGCGCATGAGCCTCGGCGAGTTGCTGGGCTTTGGCCTGAGCACGTGCCAGTGCCGCGGCGACCTGCTGCTCTTCGTCAGCGAGCTTGGCGATCTCGCCTTCGTGCTCCTCTTTGAGCGCAGCAACGCGATGTAGAGCAAGACGAGCGTTGTTCTGCTGCGCCTTGGCCTCGGCGCGGGCTGCAGCAATTTCCGACTTGAACTGCGTCTCGAGAGCGACAGCTTCGGCGCGAGCGGTCTCAGCATCTGCCACCGCGGCGTCACGCTGCTCTTGGAAAGACTGCAAGCGCTGCCGCGCATGAGCCACGAGTCGCTGCGTCGAGGCGCGGATTTCCGCAGCACGGGCCTCGGCGGATGCGCGTTCGACATCGGTCGAGAGGGCTTCGTGCTGAATGGTCTCAACGGTTGGAGCCGTGTCCGCCGTGTTGGAGGCCGTAACCGTAGTCGGTAAGTTTTCCGGCAAGCTCGACGTCTGTGCGACCATGACAATCGTTGGGTCGGACGGCACGGAGCGCGAGAAAGAGCCCGAGCGCATCTTCGGCGCGCGGCTAAGGAGCTGGTCAAGCTTCTCGCGCATCGAGAGCTTGATCGGCAAAAACGAGCCAAGCACGTGATGAGCGTCGAGGCTACTGTGCGGCGAAAGCACAATGTCGTCGTAGAGAACCGGCGCATCCAGCGCGTCCTCCTTGTCAGGCGCCTTGATCAGAGGTCCATCCTGCATGTCGTCCACGTCGCCCGTGTT